AAGAAATATGCGGGGGGGGGGGGCGACAGAAGCAATGTAAAATAGCTGATTTGTGGTAAAAGTCAGAATGTCCTCTTCATTTATTTTCTTGTTTCTTTTTTTAAAACTTTCTTAACAGAAACTGCATTTAATTCCAAGAGGTAGTATTCTTATTTATTATTTAACCCTTTGCTGCTGCTAAAATGTGCACATATTCAGGCTTTAGTTTTTCCAAAAGGCATTTAATATTGTTGGCTGAAAAACATTAAACATCTGATCACAGGGAAGAATCAAGTTTCTAGGATGTCGTAGGTACAATATTTAGCACCGAAGAAATTGATTTTAGGAGATAGCCAAAAGTAATCTTAAAGTAGCATGAGATGCTAGATTAATCAGCCTAAAAGAAAGAAAACGATTTGTGAAAAAGACTAAACTCTCAAAGCATTCCTAGAAAATGCTACTTTAATGTTGACTTTTGGAGTTATTTTGTTTTGGTTACTTTTTTTTTTAAAAAAAGAAAAACAAAATGTTATATGCTTTTGGCAATTGATATGATAAACTGTAATGGTCTGTAAATAAATAAATACTGACTTATGCAATTTCTGTACATAAGTGTTCTGGGAGAGTAGATGGCTCAGGGTTTTGGTGTGGGTGCTGTCCTGCTGGGCTGCAGAGCGAGTCACCCCAGCTCCTGGCTTTGCAACTGGTTCTTGTCATAAGGGACCCAAGGCTGTGGGTGGCTGCTCAAGCCTCTGTGGAATGATGGGTCCAGTTTTCACAAACACAAGCCCGGCCAGCCAAACCGCTATGTCGTTTGTGCCAACACTGCACCTTGGTCACAGACTTAACAGGCATGGACTGACCCACCCCCCCCATCTGTCATGAGAATGTCCCCAGGCGGTGCCGACGTGCCAGGTCACCTTGGGGCACCTGTCCCTGCCAGGTCCTGTTCTGTGGATAAGTGGACGGCTTCCGTTTATGGTTTTCATTCGATTTCATCTCATTAGCACAACATTGTGTTATTTACTTGATAATCTGTAATTGTATGTAAATACATAAAGGATTATGTAATTTGTGTAAATACATAATTACAGACTTTTGAAAACTGGTAGTTTTTACTTGATGTCCATGTTGGAGCTGCTTCCGATTCTGTGCCTACGTGAACCGATGGAATTTTAAAAACACGATCTCCTTGCGCTTACAGCTGTTGCGTGTGTGTTGAGGGACGAGGGGGTGTGTGGGGGAAGAGACGCATCCGGATGCCCTTTCTTGTCTGTGAGCGTTAGATGAGGGAGCGCGGAAGCTTCTGGGATAAAGATTGATGAACTTGCATCAAGCAAAACGCAGTGTGTACGCACGTTGACGTGGATGGTGAGTGGACAGAGGCATATTGTCCGAGGTCAAATTCTGTTTGCTGCATCGTTTGACCTCGAAATGTGCCGGATTTAGATCCACTGTTTGTGGTCACTTGCATGAGAGAGCAATGAAGCGGCGGGGGTCGGGGAATACGCCAGATGGATTCAAAAGATGCGTTCGCCAAGCCCCTGTGTCTGCGTGTGCGTGTGCGTGTGTGTGCGTGTGTGTGTGTGTGTGTGTGAGATACACGCGACGTAATACCCACGGGCATCCATAGACATTTCACATTTGAAAATTGATACTTTATTGTTGCAGTTGCAGGTGGGGTGGGAGGAATTACGTTTCGGTCAGTAAGTAGCCCCGCGTTCCGGGCTTTGGGTGTGGAGGGCGGGCCTGACTGCGGGCGAGAGCCGCGCCCCACGTGGCTCCCCGCTCCACCTGCCCCGCTCCTTGGCAGCCGCCTCCCTTAGGTCTTCAGAAGAATTTTTCTTGTGACGTCTTCTTCACCGGGGGGAGCATATGCAGAAATGAGAAATGGCCTCTTCTATAATTTTCTCTGGAAAGAAATGATGACGAGTGTTCTTCACGTGTGTGTGTGTGTGTTCTACGCCTCGGCGCTGCACCAGCTCGTTCTCGGCAGGTTGGTGGACGCCGGCTGTAAGGTCGGACGGTGTTGTGAGGGCCACCAGTGAGGCCAGGAAAACACCAAGGAGAGGCCCCTTTGCTACTCCGGTTGGTCGTCAAGGAGAAAATTCATACGTAGGTTTCTCGTTTCTCTCCAACTGTATTCCGGCATATATCTTGGAAAACATTTTTAAGACAACTTTAATGAAAACAAGTTGTAGGCATCCCTGATATCTCAGTACCTCTTGGCCAGATGTGCTGGTAACTGGCTCTTGTTTTTTCCCATCCCCTTCTGAAGATCCTTCTGTTTGTGGTTTTGGTGATGATTCCTGTTGTTATTAGTGGACTTAGCTGGGAACATTTGGTCCTGGGAACGAAAGAGTTAAAAGACAACGTGTAAAGGGGACATTCAGAGCTGAGCATCTGAGTCTGCCCTCCGCACACAGTGGAAGCGCAAGCATTACTGACAACGTTCATGGCCCGGCTTGGAGAGACTTATCGGAAACACACTCACGCAGGCTTTTTCCTAAGCATTTTGTGGGATGTGGCAAAGCATTCTGTAAACTCCACCTGGCTGTTGCCTCTCGCTTCTAGTGTCTGCGGGCGTACAGGGTTGGTCCATGACAGCTTTGGGAGATTTCTGTTTCTGATTCATAAAAAGAGGGCTTCTCCTAGTCCATGAAGTTGTTAGAATTATAGCTGCTCTTTCAGAAGGAAGCGGTACTCCGAACATCTCTTTCCTCCATGGCTGACCAAATTCTGCCCCCTCCCTCCCTGTTTTTCTTTTCCTCACTCCTTCCCTCCTTCCTTTGTCGTATTGTGGAGCTGGCATCAGCAATAAAAGGACAGGCATGGTCTCTGATGGTACACGGAACTTAAACCACAGGCATCCTGAGGTAGTGTGATGGACCCTGGGATGGGAGGGTACGGGGGGCCGTGGGACATCCGTGCATCCCATATGGACTTTTGAGGGCCTGAGGTCATCATGTCTGAGCTGAGATGCAAATGAGCAGGAGTTACAAGAGAGAGAGCTTATAGTCACTGGCTTTCTAACCATGTCATGATTAAGTGCT